GAATATAGGAAAAGAATTTTGTGGTACACCTTCTGTCCAATAAATCTTCAGCTGATGACTGTTGATCTTCAGATTTGTTAGTAACTGGAAATTAACTTGCTTGACAGTCTGTGTTGATCCTTCAATTAATACTTCCATATGATATGGATGAGTATGATGTACTGCAAAGATGATGATAAAAGTTCAAAGGAATGAAAGAACATCTCAATCATATTATTGTTAACTGATGCATACTTATTTTTATGAAACCTTAAGATACCTCTTCCTGCATTCTTCCTCTACCAAAGTATGACTTCTCTTGGGAGTTCAAAATCAGTAAGTCTCCCATCTTATAAATTAACCTAATTTAATGAAAAACAGTAGAGGCAGAAAGGATATGGGAAAGAAAGGAACCATCTGCCCTCTTCAGGGATATGCTGTCGGTTTGCTATTATCGTTTTAAGTGCATCCCTGCATGCACAAACAGATAATTAAATCTCTTCTAAAATGATGCGGCAACAAATTATTACTACAATGTGCACTCTGCATGAGTAATTTATGGGTGGGATGGTGAGAATTTCACTAGGTGGATGCCAGCCTGCCACATCATTTTGTTAAAAAAATACTCCAAATAGAAAACATGACTTCATTGATATGGTGTGAATTAGTTATTCTTTTGATCTTCATTTGCAAGCTTTCTCAATCCAATTTAAAATTCAGTGTGCTATGGGTCATCTCCTAGGAGCAGCTGGAGCTGTTGAAGCAATTTTTACCGTTTTAGCCATGCATCATGTAAGACATTTTGAAGAACTATCTACTTTATATTGTGCTAAATAACTTTTAAATAGTTATTAATGGCACAGAACTTTTCAGAAAGCTCACTAGAAAGCTATACTAACAAGTACTTTCAACATGAGTGAAGTTGTGAAGGTGTGCGTGATTCTGTGCCTGATTTTATCAGCTGCCTTCCTTTCTCATAATAATTATGTGGAACTTAGTGGAAAACCTGGAATTTAGGTCATGTTTGGTTCAATGGATATTCTCTGATAAAAATATGACAATAAGGTAAAGTGGAAGATATTAACCATGAGGATTAGATTCCATGCTTGCATCTTTTTTCTCTTAATAAGGTGGGATT